ATCCCACGGGTCACAGGATTCCTGTGGGATGGGAGTCAGTATTAGTAAAGATCACGTGATTGGGACGGTACAGGATTAAACATTATCGGGAGCAGACGGGAGCGGGGGAGCAAACCAATAGTAACTACCGGTAAAAAAAACTAGGATCAATGCAAAATCTAAAATGAAAAAGGAAGAAAGAAAATCCAATACTGGCGCTGCCATTTTGTAGTTTTTTTCCTTGAAGCCTACACTATAATGCGAGTCAAAAAAACTACACAACCCAAAAACCAACAGTGCATCCGCTCTGAGTTTTTCACCCGCGCTCAAAAGAAATTCAGATTCAATGTATTGGCAGAAATCTTATTGAAGACAACAAGAATGGGAGTGAAGCAGGAGAGGGAGTCATTCTGAATGGGATGGGAGTGGGAGTAATTTCACCAGGAGTGGGACGGGACAGGATTTAGAATTCTACACTGATCGGGACAGGACACAATTTTTTTCTGTGGGAGTGGGACGGGACAGGAATGAAAATCAACTCCTGTTTCAGTCTCTACCGCCAACTACTGGAATGGAGTGTGAATCGGGATGTGCAGCCAGACGGAGATGGCGCGTTCTGCTCATGCGCTCGTTATCAGAGAACCATCAAGGGAAAAACCTAGCCGAGCCCACCTCTGGAACTGGTCCGCAGTTAGCGCTGTCCGGTTGTGTCTAGCTCGGTTCAGTTCAGTTTGTTTTCCATTTACACACTATAAGTTATCTCAGTTACTCACCTTTGAATTCAACAACCACAGCCAGCTTGCATTCCATTGCATCCAGCTTACGGCCAGCAGCCTAATTATTGCCCATATTGCAACTAACATACTCTGTAATTGTAGATACATCAGGTATCCAAACAGAAGAAATCAGAGTATCATAAATCCAAACATGTATATGTCTTCAATGTCCTCTACTGACAGCATTGTAAAACACACCATTCTCCAATCTCTTCAGAAGTCTAGGGTGTATGTCCCAGCAGGACAGGACGAGTCCCCTTTACCCCCTCAGAAAATGTTATCAATTACAATTGAGAGACCATCTGACCAGATCCTCTAAAACCTGCAGGACAGCGGCCCTCAAAGACCGACTTTAGGGATGCCTGTTGTAGAGTCTCACAGCTGCTGGAGGAAGTATCTGTGATAACACATTTTCACATTTTTCACCCTTACTTGAGTAATTTCTTGAATGGCAACTTTTTACTTTTAATTGAGTAAAAATATAAAGTACTCTGACTTTTACATGAGCACAATTCTGGGGTAATCTACCCGCCTCTGGGAAAAATAAAAGCTGTCATATGTGGACGCACTGTATATACTGTATTTATCCCATGCACCATTTTCTTTATTTAGCACATTCTTCTCCTCCGACTATTTGAGCTTATGTAAATAGTAGATTTCTCCACTGTGAGATCAATAAAGTCAATCAGCCAGAGGTGTCAAGTAACGAAGAACAAATACTTCATACTGTACTTAAGTACACTTTTTAGGTATCTATACTTTACTCCATTACCGATTTTTCCTCCTACTTCTGACTTCTACTCATTACATTTTCACACAAGTATCTGTACTTTCTATTCCTTAAATTTTTTAAACAAACATTACTCATTACTCCTGGTTTCACTTTTATGTTTTTAAATATATTTATTTCTCGTCATGTGCGCCATCCAATGCAGATCATTGGTGCCATCCACATATAGTGAACACTTGTGTAATTGGATGAGTCATATAACGCAAACACTCATTGGTTAGCTATTCCTCAAATTTGTGCTGACGCTAAAGGAAATCATTAGAAGCAAGCAGGTATTCTTCAGACTGAAAAATCGAATTGTCTATATGCCATGCTACAATGTTGGAGTCAGAAAAAGATGTCGAAATGTCTGAAAGGTCGGACACAGGCAAGAGCGTATGGAGACGGAGAC